TTTGGTCATACTAGTGAGCTTTTGTAAAGAAACATAATTATCACTAAACACATAAAACTTTACAGGTATGCATTTAGTTCACACCAACATCTACCATCTATATGACGGGTTTCTAAGGAAATGTATTTACATTTCATCATTAGCAAGGTGCTGGCATTCATGTGTGTATGTATACAAAATGCCAAATAGCAACTTTTACTGAAAGTAAAAAAAATTACTATTCTAGGATAATTTAATGAACGAAAAAACAGTTTATTTACATTCTAAAGCTTGTCCTTGTAAAAAGTCAAGGCAAGGTACTCATAACGCTCTACCTAAACTAACTAGAAACAACATTACCAACACTGAAAAAAAAATTTTAAAAGGTTTCTTAAAAAAAAAAAAAGAAAAAGAAAAAGAAAGTGTCCTACCTCTGAAAGACTCTACCCAACAGAGTACCAAAGGAGATACTAAGACTCATAACCAAACTTGGGCAGAGTGCTAGAATACTTAGGGGAGAAGAGTGAGCTAGAAAGAGTTGGAGAGGACAAGGACTCCACAAGGAGAACAACAGAGCCAAAACATCTGGGCCCAGGGGGGCCTGCAGAGACCAACTAAAGACCATGCATGGAGAGGACTTAGACTCCCTGTTCAAAAGAAGCCCATAGGTTGCTCAGTTTCCAAGTGGGCTCCTTAGTAAAGGGTGCAGGGGCTGTCTCTGACATGAACTTAGTGGCTGGCTCTTTGATCACCTTACCCTGGAGGTCGGGGGTGTGGCCTTACCAGGCCACAGAGGAAGATGATGCAGCCAGCTTCAATGAGACCTGATAAGCTAGGGTCAAATGAAAGGGGAGGAGGAGCTCCCCTATCATGGGACTAGGAAAAGGGCATAGGGAGAGAAGAGGGAGGGTGGTTGGAACTGGGAGGAGAAGCGAGAGGGCTGCAGTGGGGATACAAAGTGAATAAATGATGATAAATATATAAAGAAGTGTCTTACCAATTTAAGAAGCCCAGTGTGTGTGTGTGTGTGTGTGTGTGTGTGTGTGTGTGTGTGTGTCTGTGTACATGCACATGTACACATGTGTGTCTGTATGTATGACAATGAAGACTAGAGAGAAAGAGAAGGTCCTAGAGTAAAGATCCACGTGAAGCTGACTTAACCTCTGCTGTATGTAAGAGTACTACTCAACACAGTTTCCTTTTATAAAGATACAACAGAAAAAAAAATTAATAACTCATGAAAATATTTCTACTATACTTTGTCAGAAAGACCAACACCTACACAACAACTTCAATTTTGATGTATGCAGTATTAAAAGTTGCAAATCAATGTTCATCTTGTAACTCAAATTTACTTGAGCATTTATTTGTCATTTACCACATAGCATCTTTTAAAACAGAGGTACTATAGGTAGCATTCTGAAGTAAAAATGCATACAAAAAAAAAAAAAAAAACAGCTTTCAAAATTACATCAGAAGAAGGAGAAAAGAGGGAACAAGTCAGGAGCCTGACACAGAGGACTTCTGAAAGGCTCTGCCCTGCAGACTATCAAGGTAGATGCTGAGACTTATGGGCAACCTTTGGGCAGAGTGCAGGGAATCTTATGAAAGAAGTGGGAAACAGTAAGATCTGAGAAGACAGGACCTCCAGAAGGAGAGCAACAGAACCAAAAAATCTGAGCACAGGGGTCTTTCCTGAGACTGATATTCCAACCAAGGACTATGCATGGAGATAACCTAAGACACCTGCACAGATGTAGCCCATGGCAGTTCAGTATCCAAGTGGGTTCCACTGTAATAGGAACAGGGACTGTCTCTGACATGAACTGATTGGCCTGCTCTTTAATTACCAGAATTACCAGGCCACAGAAGAAGACAATGCAGCCACTCCTGATGAGACCTAATTGACTGGGATCAGAAGGAAGGAAAAGAAGTCCTCCCCTATCAGTGGACTTGGGGAAGGGCATGCATGCAGAGGGTGGAGGAAGGGAGGGATTGGGATGGGAGGAGGGAGAGAACCACAAGGGGGATACAAAGTGAATAAAGTGTAATTAATAAAGAAAAAAATTAAAAACAAAATTAAGCCATTATGAGTGAAAATTCAAAATCCATGTACCAATTCCTAAATAGCAATACTAACTTTAAAAAAAAAATATGCATTGTTCATACCTAAGCTAATCTATGAAGGAAATTTAAAATAAGAGTTTCAGATATAGAATGTTAAATGCTATATAATTACTCAGCATGTTTGAACAGATTAAAACATTTCTTGGCTTTATGTGTCAAATAAATAAAGAGTTCCATATAAGGAGGCTTATCAAAAAACCAAATGCTTTATATTCAGAGAGAAAAATTTAATCATAACTGTCAAAGATCAAGCTGCTACTTCTGATAACAAACGTGATGAGATAGCATCGTGTTCAATATATGCTTTCAACTTGACATGCAGGCTAATAAAAATGAAGTTGTATTATTTATTTTGTTTCATGTACAACAGAAATCTCCAGAGTGATGATCAAAAATGCCCAGTACCAATGCATGAACACAGGCAACTTCTCATCTGAAGACAGATTAACAGGTTTACAGACTAACTGCAGGAAAAGAGTAACACGTATTGTATTTGTATAGGATTTCAAATTATTATGCATCCATGACTGTATCAAGGAAAGAATGTCTGTTTTCACTACAAAATAAATACAACACACTACACTACTGAAGTGCAGCAACTTCCCTCCATCCTTTAGCTATTTACTACTCTCTAGGCCCAGCATCTGCTTCTTCCTCATCATTATTCAGTGTCCTGTCAACATCTCTTTGAGAAGAAGGGATGAAGGAGAATAGGCAGCCCACTTCTGATATGTGGAACTATACTGCTGCGGTGTGAAACCTAAAGCCAAAGTGAGGCTGTGTGCCAATTAATAAACCACAGTAGTTCTTCTGTGTCTTCGAACTTGTCTTCCTTAGCTTCCTTAACTTGGTAGTCTAGCTTGCCAACTTCTCCTCCAGCCTCTCACAGACACCACTCCCTGTCAATGCCTCTCAGGCTGTGAAGTTCAGTTTTCTCCATCTATTATACCATTGTGCTTCAAGTTCCAAGGCCACTATCTTAGCTTGGAGCTCTATCATCACAACTGTTAGTGAAAAGGGTATAGCGGACCTCCAGATTTTTCAATAACTATTCTGATAAGCTGTTCTTTAATATAGTGAGGTAAACAACAGGAAAAAAAAATAACTAATTCTTTGTTAAGCAAACAGTGCAAATGTCAGTAGAAAAACCATCCACCAGTTGGCTAAAACACAAAGAGAGAGCTTATCTTTGAGCCCTCTGTCTTCTATACCACATCATCTCTATCTTTCTTCTTACTTTGATGTCTTCTGTCACTGTCATAGGTCAAGAACTACATGTAAGCCACTCACCATAATTATAACTATGTCACCTAGTGCTTCCCAGTAGGACTTTCTGCAGTGGTAGGAATAGGCTGAATTTGTAACATGAATATACATTCATATACTCATTTGCAATGTAGTAAATATAAATAAAGAAATAACTGTAGAGTTTAGTTTAAACTACAATTAGCAAATTTAAATGACCATATATCCCATTACAGCTTAACCATCTCTCTTCCTGCAAACAGAATTGTGCTGCTGAACATATCTGATCATACTACCTGGTTTACAGAACTATTGTATCACTAGAAAACCATCCTAGCATTTAGAAGTATTTACTGACTTCCTACTTCAGTCTTATTTTTCTCAAAATGTGTCCTATAAAAAATACAAAGGTACTGGAACAGTATGTATACACATTTGCCATGCAATAAGTTTTATGCCAATCTCTTTCACTTGCCAACATTTTTTTCCAGGAAATGTATACTCATCTTCAATATTCAGCTCTTTTCCTTTCTTCTCTTTTCCAACACCCGATCCCTGCTAAGCTGGCCTT